GGGGTGGCCCTTCAGGACCCCGCTGGCAATGGTAGCGGCACGGGCACGGCAGACAACGGCAAAAACAATGGCATCGGCAAGGGCTCAGCAGCATCAGCGGCAACGGCATGGACGCCATGGGCGACGCATGACCCAGGTGCGGTCCTCGAAATGGCGGTCAAGAGCACATTCCAAAGTTGCGCGGCTGCCAACATGCAGCTGAACGAGGCGTGGAAGGGGGTATAAGCGCATAGTAAGGGAGGGATATAAACGTAAAGTAAGATATGGAGGAGGATAAAGCATCGGAGGGAAGGATATGGGAACAAGGGATGGGGGGTGCGCTGGGAGGGGGGGGCGCGATCGAGAGGCCTACCGCGCGCTGGACATAGCGGTCAAAGAGAACAACGAAATGAATAACACGATCAATATGCTTGGCAGCAGAATTATGGCGTTGGAGAAAGAGGTGGCGATCTTGATGAAACACCACCTCGAACGCAACGTGTAGTGAGCGTGCGGTGCTTAGGTCATATTGCCGTCCACTCTCTCCCCTTCCACCGGCATGCGGCGAGAGCAGCGTGCCTGCGGTGAGCAAAATGCGGTGCTGATCCCCCTCCTGCCTCCTCCTCTTCCTCCTCCTCGCCCTCCCCTCCTCTCATCTTCCCTCATCCCCCTTCCCCATCCTCCAACCAGTAAGACGGTCAATGGGTCAATGGGCGGTCAACGCAGGCGCGATGACCCCGTGGCGCCCGGGTGTTCCGATGGTTCCCATGGGGCCCAATGAGCCGGTCAATGGGTCAATGGGTGGTCAACGCAAGTGCGTTGGCCTCGTAGCGCCTGAGTGCTCCGAAGGTTCCAGTGTAGCCCAATGAGCCGGTCAATGGGTCAATGGGTGGTCAACGCAGGCGCGTTGACCTTGTAGCGCCTGAGTGTTCCGAAGGTTCCCATGGAGCCCAATGAGCAGGTCAATGGGTCAATGGGTGGTCAACGCAGGCGCGTTGACCTCGTAGCGCCTGAGTGTTCCGAAGGTCCCCATGGAGCCCAATGAGCAGGTCAATGGGTCAATGGGTGGTCAACGCAGGCGCGTTGACCTCGTAGGGGCGATGTCTGTAGCCGTGTGCTGCTCGAGAGTCTTCGCAAACCTTCAGCAGGGCATGGGTGATGTGGGCGCAGTGCGGGGTCATTCGAGCCGATCCTGAGATGGTGGCCGCCTATGACATGGCCCACCGCAACCCCTACGACGAAGGAGGTGACAGCGACGAAGATGACGACCAGGACGACGACGGCGGCATGGGCGCCGACGAGCCGAGGGGCGACGGCGGCATGGACGCCGACGAGACGAAGGACAGCTCGGACCACCCGTTCGCGGATGACGGCGACATGGACGCCGACGAGACGAAGGACGACTCGGACGCGGATATGATGTTCCGCGACAGCGGCATGGACTCCGACGAGCCGAAGAACGACTCTGACCTCGGGCACCTGGCAGTCGCCCCGTACTGCGACGAGTGCAACCTGCAGGGTGAGGATCGCGACGCCCGCTGCGGCATGTGTGGGCGCCAGTTCGGCATCCCCCAGGGCAAGCAGAAGGAGATCGACTTCGACAGAACCGAGAGCAAGGTGGCTGACGAGTTCGTGAGGAGCACCCGCTACAAGAAGGACGCGCTCCAGACAGAGGTCCAACGGATGCTCGAGACGGACAGCGAGAAGCCCGAGACGGACGAGGGGCCCGAGAAGGCGATCCCAGGCGCGCCCCCACCCGGGAATCCGTGCGACGACAAGTTCAAGAAGGACTCTGACAAGACGCTCGAGAAAAATGAACACATCTGCGGTATCCTCGCCGTCGAGAAGAGCGACGTGCATGGGGAGGTCGAGCTCGACGAGGACGGCTGGCCGATAGGTGTCGACCCCGAACTGAAGAAGTCCACGGCGACCGAGATCGACTCCGACATGCCCGAAGACTCTCAGCCGCCTGCCTAGTCGCGGAGTTGGTACCAGGCCATTACCATAGGCGAGGCCACAGCTCGGAGCCGCCCGAGCGCTCCAGGTGTAGAACTCAGCGTATAGTGAAGTATATGCTGTAGGTTGAGGGTTGACAAAAAGCACGAGCACAGTATTCAAAGTCATCGTGCATTTCTTGTGAACCCACCCTTACAACGATGAAGGTCAACGCGCATGCGCTGACCTTCCGTTGACTCGATGACCCCATCCTCCTCCTCCTCCTCCAGGCCCGCTCCCCTATCGCCCTGGTCCTCCATGGGGAGTGGGTAGTCCAATGATCGGGGAGATTCTCGGGGGATGGGGGGCGATCACCCCTGCCCCGCGAAAGTTGGCCCACCGAGGCCGCGCGAGAGTGACGATAAGTTGACTCGGGCGCCTCTGAGACCGCGCTCCGCTGGACCTCCCAGGAACCCGCGAAAGTGTGAACAGTTTCGCAGTTCGCAGCCCCAAGAATCCTGTCTTCAACGCGGGGGGGAAGAGAGGAGGGCCACCATCGTCGCCATTCGGGGTCAGGCGGGGCGCAGCCCGCGCGCCAGCCGCCACCCGGCCCCCGCCCCCCGCGAGCGCGCGGCGCGCCAGCCGCCACCCGGCAATGACAGGGGGGCACAGGTATACAGACGATGAAAAAATAGAATGGTTTCTCAGAGATGGGCCAGGAGAGTTGACGCATCCAAAGTGGCGCATGGACGATGCCGACTACAAAATCAAAGAGGTGACGCAGCTCGGGTGGCGCATGGACCAGCTCGAATACGTGGCGACCAATGATGGAGGTAAGGACCACGAGGCCTGCGCACAGTATGTCTTCCTGTGCAAGGATTTTGATAAAATTCAGGGCGAGAACTCGGCAATGGCCGCAAACATGGAACAATTTGACATGGTTGCAGTAAATTTCCAGAGGGAGGTAAATAACATGCATACGAAGTATCCGGAAGTGACTGCTCATGTACAAGTAATCGACAGGATGAACAAAAACACCCAGAAGCAATATCACAAGCATTTCGAGTTCCTTGAGCAAAGGATCAAGGAGCAGGACCAGATGATCAAGCAGCTGGAGAAGATGATCAATATCAAGGGTGACGACGTGTCTATGAGTGATGCTGCAGCAGACAACGTGAAGATCAAGATCAGGCCCGACGACGTGGGCATGGGCATCAGCATGGGCAGCACAGGCATGTCATAGGGACCACGACCGACGACGACGATGCTCATCCTAGGCCACGCGGCACGGCCGTTCGAGCGCTCGAGTTTCAAAGGCCAGCATAACAGATGCTGTAGTTTGCGCGTCAAACACGAACCGCCATCGTTCCTCCTCCTCCCCCCCCTCCTCCCCGCCTGCAGGCCAATGGCAACCCTCGTCCTCCACGGGAAGTTCAGACCAATCTTCGGGGGGAAGTTCTCAGGGAGGGGGCGATCACCCCTGCCCCCGATGCCGCATGAAAGTGGCGATTGTTGCGAAGTTGAATTGCGGTGCCTGTAAGACCGCGCTCCGCTTGACCTTCCAGGCACCCATAAAACTGCAAACAATTCCGCAATTCGCAGCCCCAGGAATGCTGTCTTCAAAACGGAGGGGTCGAGGAGGGAATGAGCACGGAAAAACAGGAGGTTATATTCAATCGGCCTCGCCAGGCCCGCCGACCCCCACGAAGGGCCACGAATCGCCAGGGCTTCGCCCACCCCGCCGCCCCGCCATTGCAACGAACGGGCCGCGGGCCACGGGCAACCGATTTGGCTAGGGCTTTGCCCACCCCGCCGCCCCTGCAGGGTTTTGCCCGCCCCGCCGCCCCGCCGCCGCTACGAGGGAGCCGCGGGCCACGGGCAACCGACTTGGCTAGGGCTTTGCCCGCCCCGCCGCCCCCGCAGGCTTAGCCCGCCCCGCCGCCGCCAAGAGGGGCCCGCGAGCCTCGAGCAAACGACTTCTGAAGGGCGTCGCCCGCCCCGCCGCCTATATTATATATATAATATATATATATTATATATATATATATGTTTCACATGTATGTATGTATATATGTGTATATGTGTATATGTATATAAATGTATATATGTATATGTATGCATAAATGTGTATGTATACACGTATGCCTATGTATATATATGTATATATGCATATACATATGTATTTCAAATGTATATACTCATACATGTATATATTTATCTGTATATAGATATGCCTATATATATGTTTATATGTACATTTAAAACCATATTACATCGATATACATGTATAACACATACATTGTTTACAAACCATGTTTTTTGATCCAAACCATGTGTTTTGATCCAAACCATGTTTTCTGATCCAAACCATGTTTTTTGATCCAAGCCATTGTTCACACTGGATTTTGATCCAGGCCATGTTTTTTTGATCCAACGCTCTCGGATCTAAAAACGCGATCCGAGCAACCCCAGGGATGGCCGCGGCGGCCGGTCTGGATGACCTGGACCGTGTCGGGACGGCCCGGCACCTGGACGCCTTCGGCGAGGTTGACCGGAGCGGGGCTGTCCCGGAGATCGGGCCTCAGATCCTCCAGGGCTCCTGGACCACCGTCTCGGCCGGCCGCTGGAAGCGTCGGGAGGCGATGCCCATCTTGGAGGGCCGCGCTCTGGTCTGGGGAGTCCGCCACGTCCGCCGAGGTTTAAGCGAGTTTGGCAAGCGAGTCCTGTTTTTGACCGATGGGCTGTCCGAGGTCCTGGCCCTCGAGAAGGGCCGATCGTCCAGTGTAGCCTTAATGAGAGTGTGCAGGCAGTGGGCGGCGACGGTTTTTGCGGCCGACTTGTATCCTCGTGTTCGGTGGATCCGGTCTGAGTTGAACATGGCCGATGAGCCCTCTCGACGCTACCAGCCGAAGCCATTTGGGCTCATACAGGCAGGCTTTCGGCCTCCGCCAGGACTGGCAGAGCCAGATGTCGACGGGGCTTCCTCGCCCGCGCAGCGGTGTCCCGAACCTGGAGGCCCCTCGAGACTCGCCCCCCCCGTCGGGCATCCTTGTCCGACCGGGTGGCGCGGCGAAGCGGCGGGCGAGCCCGGCCGCGCTGCCGACCCTAGCGCGGGCTGCGCCGCCGCCGCCGGCGCCGCGCGCGCGCCCTGCGGGCCGGGCCCGGGCGGCGGCGGCGACCCGACGGGTCAAGCCGCGGCCGGAGGTGCAGGCCACCAGGGCGGAGCTTGCCGCCGCGCGGCAGGGGGGGTTCCCCGAGGACAAGCGCACGACGGACGGCGAGAGCCTCACGTTGCTGGAAAGGGAGAGCGTGGGAGACCACAACCAGCGGGTCTACCAGTCCGCCCTCGCCGAGTTCAGGAGCTTCGCCGGGGCCCTGGGCCTCCGCCTCAGGACCGCCGCAGACTACGACGAAGTGGCCCTGGAGTGGGCCCACCAGACGTTCTTCGACGGCGGCGACGCGCAGGAGGGGACCGGGCTGAAGGCGGTGCTGCAGTATTACTACCCGCGGCTGCTGGCCACAGTCGGGCTGGCCAGGTTCGCCCGCGCTCTGAAGGGGTGGAGGCGGCTGGTCCCGCCCCGCAGCCGGCTCCCGCTCCCGTGGGAGGTCACGTGCGCGGTGGCAAACAAGCTGGCAGCCAGCCAGGACCTGCACGCCGCGCGCCGCATCATCGTGATGTTCGTCTTCTACCTTCGGCCCGTGGAGCTGACGTCGCTGACCGGGCGGCAGGCGGCGCCGCCAGTGCGGGCGGCCGGGCGCAACGCCTGCTCAATCGTGCTGTTCCCACTGGAGGAGCAGACGTCCAGCAAGACTGGCGCGTACAACGAGAGCCTCCTTGGCGACCTGCCGTTCTACAACTTCATGGGTGACGTGCTGAAGCTGCTCAAGGCCGGCGTGGGCGACAAGGAGCTGGTGGCGCAGGTGCGATAAGTGCAGCCGGCGCAGGCGTTCCGAGCGGCGGGGCAACAGCTGGGGCTCGAGGGCCCGCCGGGCCTGTGCCAGCTGCGGCGCGGCGGGGCGTCCGCCGACCTCGCCAGCGGCCGCCGCAGCATCCCAGAGGTGAAGGCTCGCGGCCGCTGGGCGAGCGACAGCTCGGTGACGAGGTGCGGCAAGGGCGGCCGCATCGCCGACCAGCTGGCCAAGCTGCCGGAGCTTTTTCGTCGAGCACGCCATCGCCTGCGCCAGGAAGATTGGCGGCATCCTCTGCGGGCGTTGCCAACCTTTGCCGCCCGTGCGGGCGGCGCCGTAGCGCTCGAAGTATTCAGCGGCTCCGGCAACCTCAGCCAAGCCTGGCGGCGGGGGCAGCGTGCCCTGGGGCATGCCATCTTTGAGTGGGGCCTCCGCTTGGGCGACGAGTATGACCTGGCCCGCCAGCGTGCTCAGCGCCTGTTGCGAGGATGGGTCAACAACGGGCTGATCGCTGCCGTGTGGCTGGGGACCCCCTGCCACAGCTGGAGTCGCGCGCGGGGCATCCGACCCGGGCCGCCGCCCCTTCGGAGTGATGTGCACGCGATGGGCTCGCCCGACCTGGCGCCTCGTGACGCCGAGAAGGTTAGGGTCGGCAACGCCTTAATGAAGTTTTCGGCCTCGCTTTTACCTTGTGCCAGGCCGTGCGAGTGCCAGTCGCTATCGATATCCTCATTTGTCTAGAATATGGCTGACGCCACAGTTCAGCAGTCTGCTGAACAAATGCCGCGCTGTCGTGCTGGATTTTTTGCCAATTCGGCCAGTCGTGTCGGAACGGACTCGCATCGTGTACGATCATGTTGACCTGCAGCCGCTGCAGCCTCTGGGTCGTCTTTGTTCCGGCCCCCGTGGGATCTGCTCCCGCACAGGGCGGCCGCATGACCAGCTTCAAGGGAAGATCCCTGCTGGCATTTTCCTCGCGCTCCTTGCCGAGGCTTACCCAGCCGACCTGTGTGCCAGCATCGTTCGTTGCTTCCAGCTTGCACTTGCTGAGAGACAAGCACAGAGAGTCAAACAATTCTGGTGCGGCTGATGCCAGTGGCGTTTTTGGAGAGACGTTCCGTTCTATGCAAAAAGTGCGGGAGTGTGCTTCGCGTCTTGAGTTGGGTGTCGTCCCGAGTTCGAGACCCTTCTGTACTGTGATTGCAAAGTCGGGTGACTTGTCGACACCAGAGATAGCATCGCTTCGCACGCCTGGCGGAAAATAGGCCTGGGCGTTTCATTTGACAGAGCTTGCTGATTAATGATATGCAGAAGACCGAAACACGCCGTCACCGATCCATAGTTTTTCCTGGCCAGCCGTCTGCCCCACCGCCGCCCTCTTCTTTTAAATATTACAGGAACGAAACTGGAGTTTGCTTCGCGTCTTGAGTAGGGTGTCGTCCCGAGCTCAAGACCCTTCCGTACTGTGATTGCAAAGTCGGGAGACTTGTCGACACCAGAGATAGCATCGCTTCGCACGCCTGGCGGAAAATAGGCCTGGGCGTTTCATTTGTATATATATATATACATACATACATATATTTACATACATACATATTATATGTACATATATATATGTATATCTTTATTTATCGGCGAGTCCAGGTCGACACGTCCTTCCCCGAACCAGTCCTAACTCGGCCTGTCTTTCGACGGGAGGAAAATTCAGAGATAGTCAGCCCGAAATAGCCTGGGGACGCTTTTTCGAGTACTTTTTTGAGCATTTGGGAATACTAGTTGCGTATATCTTTAATGTGTCGTCCAAGATCCGCCTAGAGGGGGACATGCCCGACCTTGAGCCCGTCCCCCTCCTCTCGTTGCCCCTTAGAGAAGGGGCCGGGACTCCCTGGGACCAGCTCCAGGCGTCCCCAGAGAGCGGATGTCTGGCTCTTCTTCATACGGCGTTCCTGGAAGGCTCGGCCGCTTCCTTGGGACCGGCTGCTCGTCTTGGGTGGTTTTTGTTGGCGGCGGTTCGGGGGGTTTGGCTCCCTGGGGCCCTATTCTTGACTGTTCCAGGCGTCCCTGGAGATGGGTATCGAGAGCCTGCCGCCGATGCAGCGGTGACATGTCGCCAGTTCCGGGTCGAGCCGCCCCTCCCCGGGCCAGAGCCCCTCCGATCGGTCCCCCCGGAAGGGGCCGGGATTCCCTGGGACCTTACAGCGAGCGGTTTGAGTAAGGATCATCTGTTTTTCACAAGGGGTTGGGTCTTTCCTTAGGTTGGCGTGCGTTATGTGTCGTTCTTCATGCGTTATGTAATATATATATATATATAATATATATATATATATATATATATATATATATATATATATATATCATTCCTTACGCGTTACTCCTTGGAACAAAAGGGGTTTCGTTCCTTATGTATCGCTCCTTAGGTCAGGTCAATGGTTGTATTCTTGACAGCTCCAGGCGTCCCCAGAGAGCGGATGCTTTTCTTTTCTCCACACGGCGGTTTTGGATGTCTCGGCCGCTTCCCCGGGGCTGGCTGCTTCTCATGAGCCTTTTTTGGGGCGGTGTTGGGGGTTTGGCGAAGGCCCCCAGAGGCCGAAAATCCGAGGTGGGGATTTATCCCTAAGTCGGGCGTGTCCCTACACAGGAGGAATATTCCAAAATAGGCAACAAAGAGTCTGGGGGTTGTTCTTGTATCATTTTGACCATTTGGGAGTATTGTGAAAGTTTTTTTCCGTCCAAAATCCTCCTGTAGGGGGACATGCCCGACTTAAATTTATCCGTGATATTGGGTAGATTGGACCTTGGGGGAGGGACATTTATCCATAGCTACTGGCTGCCGACGTCCCAGAAGATGGCGCCCCAGCGCGGTGGCTGTGGACAGAAAGTTGCGGAAAATTGCCGCCTCCATTTCCGGATGACAAGGGTGTGGAGGGAGTGGAAGAGATGAGGAGGGGGAAGAGGACGAGGAGGAGGCAGATGAGGAGCATGAGAAGGAGGAGGAGAAGGAGCAGGGGAAGTAGCAGGAGAAGGATGAAGAACGGAGCATGATATTGAATGCTCAAACACAGCAGGGCGCAAAGTCCGGCGATACCGCAGGACTTAGCCGAAGCACGGTCGGTTCGCGTCGGGTCGACGCGCGGCGACCCCGCCGCGGGCGCTCCAGGTTGAGCGCCGCCGTTGGCCCAGAATCGGCTCGGAAAAATTTGGCGATCGGGACACCGCCGATCGTTGAGGGTTGAACGATCCACCCGGTGTCAGAAACCAACGCCGAAGTCGGCACGACGCGCGCCTTCCACATGGGCCCCAAAGGGCCCTTGGGTGGCCTCCAAGGCCGCCGAACCCGTCGAGGGGTGCAAGTACGCCCAAAGAAGAACATTGCAACGATTGGTACCGACCCTCGTCGAGGCCGTATCCCCGACATCCACTGTTGTAGAATTTGCGTGCAGGCCTCCCCCTGGGGGGCCCGCCGCCACTACCGCTCTGCGGGCCCAACAAGCATGTGGGTCTCCTCGGCGCAGTCAAGACGCTGACAAAAAGGACCAGTTTGGGCTCAGGAGGCCCTGTTGTTCGGGCCGTTCCTCAGTTCGTGACCGAGGCTCGCGCTGGCCAGGAGCGCCCCTTCGTTCCTTCTGCAGCGTCCCTGCTGGCAGCGCCATGACTGCAGCGCAATGCGGGCCGCTTTCTCTTCCTCTCGAGAGGGCGATCAGCGAGGTCGCCTCTCCCGAGCTCCGCGCTCTGCTAGCGGGCCTCCTGGAGCTCGACCCGTCCCGGCGCCTGACGCTGGGCGAGGACACGTTCGGCGCTGGGCGCGGCTCCGTCTGGGACGCGCCCTGGATGCAGTGAGTGGAGGGGCCCTGGGACACACAACTAAGTAGGCACAAATAGCAGCGGTCTCGGCGGCTCTCCGGTCTCGGGAGGTGTGTTCTCCCGCGGTTTCACGCTCGGCGGCGAGCGCTTTTCCGGGGGTGTCCCCCCGGCTCCTCCGGCACGGCCAGCGCTGCAGGCCGGGCATCGCTCGGACGTGTGCGTTTTTTTAAACGGGCGAAGAACGGTGGAGGGGCCCTGGGACACACGAATAAGTAGGCACAAACAGCAGGATTCCCCATCTGTGTTCCCACGTTTTTCGGGGTCGTCGTCTTCCCCCCGCTGCCCATGTTGTCCCATGCCTTTCTGGGGAGTCGACGATGCATTGTGTCTGTGGGTTTTTTTTTCTCCCCTGAGTGAGGCAGCTCCAGGGGCTCCAGGGGGCGATCGGCTCAGGCGGGGGGGGGCATCCAAGGTCAGCTCCAGGGGCTCCAGGGGGCGATCGGCTCAGGCGGGGGGCATCCAAGGTCTGAGGTGTGTGTGTGGGGGGGGGGGGGGCGTGTTCGTTGGTTCTCTCAGGCGATCGCAGACATGGATCAAGGGGGCGCGGAGTGGCGACGGGCCCCGCTTCCATGGGCAACCGCGGCGTTCCGCCGCCGACCGAGGCGGCGCCGGCCGCATCTGGCGGAGGGCATCGCCCCCGATCCATGGCTTTGGCGACCGCGCGCCCACTCCGTGGATCCAGCACCCATTCCGAGGCCCGAAAACCATCACTTCACTAATTTTGGGCCCCAGGGCCCACTGAGGCCCCAGGGGCCCCAGATTAGTAAAGTGATGTTTTTTCCCACGTAAGGACCCCGAAATTCATCACTCCACTAAACCGAACCCAGGACGAAAGTCGGGGGCCGAATTGCTGCTGTGATGCCACATCGGCCTCGTACCCATGCTCGCGCGCCCCCCCGCCTCGGCTGCTCTCCGGTCTCGGGGTGTGTTCCCCCGCGGCCTCGCCTCGGCGGCGAGCGCTCCCGGGGGTGTCCGTCTGGCTCCTCCGGGCACGGCCGCTGGAGGTCGACAAGGTCCGACGCGAAGGCCAGGGGCAGCGCTGCAGGGGGGACAGGCTCAGCGGGGGCCTCCTCCTCCTCCTCCTCCTCCTCCTCCTCCTCCTCCTCAGGGCCCTGGCATCGCTCGGACGTGTGCGCTTTTTCCTCGGCGAGGACCATCGAGGAGCATCCTTGACCATTTGGCGAAAAAAACACGCGCGAAACCAAAAAAACAAACACAGGGAATGGACGTCCGAGCGATGGCGAGCAGGGGGGAGAGGCTCCGCGGGGGGCCGTAGGTGCGCATGGACCCCCCTCGCCCATTCATCGCTGGCAGGGGCCCGACGGCCCACCACGCCCAGGAAAAGGTGCGGAGTTGCCATCGGGGGCCTATCGCCGTCCTATCGGCGGCGCATCGCCTTTTCCACTCGATGTTCCCCCCCTCCCTCCTGAGCCGGTCCCCCCCCTGGCGTTGCCCCCCCCCCCCTTTCCTGCATGGGGCGCAATGCAGGCGTCACACCCGGATCTCAAACTCGGATAGGCGCGGGGGGTGTTGAGAAGATAGAGGGAGTTATCAGAGGAGGACACCAAAGTGGTTCCATATTTGGCCCGACCTAGTTTGTAAGTTGGCGAATGACCCAGGCGGGTGAATAAATCTGCTGAGTGAGCGGATCCCACTCAGCCCAGATCCTTACCCCCACGAGCCTCTTATGGCATGTTCAACTCACTTGTCAGGCAGGTCTGGCCACAGATAA